ATTCGCGGATCTTTGTTAATTAAAATCTCAGTAACTATTGCAAATCTAGCAAAATGGTATAAGACTTTTTGACTCAGTTTTACTCCTTCTACCTGCCTACGAGAGATTGTACGGCCATTCTGGGACACCCTGTATATAGGGTAAAACAATATCGATACGTTATTTTAATAATAGATTCTTGGGAATATTCTGACAATATTCCCAAAGAAACAAAAACACCACACACACATGTAGTTTCCCTTTAAAAAATGAAATTTAGAACCATAAACTCACATCTTGTACAGATTATGTAATAATACATGTATCATAAATAAGTACAACAAATAATAGACATAAATTAAATTATTAAAAATAACTTGAGAAATACTGCATTATTAGTTGCTAAATAATAATAAGTTTAGATATAACGCAAAATAGAGAAATTTAAAGAATTCTTTTAAAAATCTTCTCTCTTATAGAAGTTACTATTATAAAGTTACTATTATAATTGCAACCTGTGTGTAAAAAGTTAAATCTGTCAAGTATTTTCTTTTATAGTGATGGAAAATAATATATACACTATTGAAAATCTTTTAAGAGGGAACTACCGCATATCAATATACAAGAGACGATTGATGAGTATTCAAAACACATAGATCGCGACAGTGGTATTACATTTGTCAAAATGTATCCAGATAAAAAGCGACTATACTAAGTAAATACATACATTTCAATAAATTGTTGTTTACTTCTTCGTTTCGGATACTTATCAATCACTCTTTTGTATATTGCTATATTACATGTATTTAGATACGAGCGTTTAATTACTTTTAGCTCTGATTAAATTTCATTGAAAATTTATGTTAATTAAAATGTTTAAATTGCATAAAACGTGCAAGGCAAAATAAGTATACGCATGCTGAAGTATAACAGTGCGATTTTGACGTTGCGTATAATTCTGTAAAATGTAAGTCATGGTTTTGTATACGTTATGTGTCGTATCAGTGCGCATCTGTCAACAATACACAAATAAGATAACCACTGAAGTAAAAAACGCGCGCGTTCTCTTTATTTTTATGTATGTACGTTATTAAAAAAAAAAAAATATTCGCAGTGACACATCGCATTCTTACCATCGCATCTTAGACCTTGCCGAAACAATCCATACAGCAAAGAACCACAATGATCGCAGAAAGTCGGTGACATGAAAGTGTGAGTTCGAAATCTGTGAGGAACGTCTATCTTGAAACGCTCTCTCAAGTACTAAAACCCAAATAAAAAGAAACAGATATGTAATTTAGGTAACAAATTAAACGCACACATGTCGCCGAAATAGCACAGTAATACGCGAATGCAAGAATTAAATAAATAAATTAAAGCAATTAATCTTATTATTAAAAAACTAAATGCAATTTTGATATTTATTTACGATTGTCTACTCTTTTGTACATTTGTCTCATCACGCATAGATAGTATTACTTACTATCGTATTTTCCGATTCTCTTCCGCTTTCGGGACATTTAGTCAATAACTTATCATGACATTTCTTGTGCACCGCAGTTTGACATGCTGTAAACAATGTTTTTTAAATGTAATTTCTAATCAACATTACTAAATGTTAATAATAAACTTTTCAGTGATATGCGCATAAAAAAAGAGAATGTATAAAAGATGATACCTTGACATTGATAACCCTGTTTCCCAAAACCCCTGTAATAAGCAACAGATATTATTAATATTTTTCTTATCGCTATATCAACAATATACATATATTATATATCATGAGGACACAAAAATAAAAGGCATTAACATAAAGATAAAGACGCAAAATGTAAAGTGTATTACCATAAAAAGTCTTTACAAAAAGCGCAGAATGTCGGTTGCCGAAAAAACTTGGCTACGAGTTTGTGACCTCGTATAACATGCACTTTGTTATGCTTCACAGCTCCTCTTCTTCTCGTGATAGCTCGACCGATGTTGTTCTCCCGCGAAGAAGAAGAAGAAGAAGAAGAGATTAACGTTGTCTTTGACGTTGTCTTTACGAGCTCTCTCCGAGGAATTCTAGTTTTGTATATATAAGTTTTGTTTTGCGTTGAACTTGTCGATGATGTGTCCGCAGTCGTTACGAGTGCCGGTACTCTCGTTCTGAAATCATTTAATTCCCAGGAAACTCATACACATCCGTTATACATGCTTCGCATGAAATAACTTTGACATTGTAAGTATATATATATATATATATATATATATATATATATATATACTATATATAAGTCATATTGTAAAAAGAACACGTTAAAACAGCCGATGCGCAAATAAATTATGACTCAACATGAGGAATTTACGTACCGATTAAGCTCACCTGTACGTATATCCTTCAGCGCCAACGCCGCGCGCCGGAAGATTTCGATGATCCACAGAGGATCTTCTTCCGGAAGATGATCCGCTCGACGATCCACCACCGGCATTTCTCCTTTTGGCGTGCGAGGCGCCAGTGAACATCATTTTTCGCGCGGATACAATTCTCCACTTGGTAGATAATTAACTCTTTGCGCTCTCGCATATACATCAATGATATACTATACCCTATATTAATCCATAAACAAACTTATGATTGATACTAACTGTATCGAACATACATATGTGAAATGTAACGCAGTTGTTTGGTATTCGACTCTGAATCGAACGACTGGGACACGAAAGAAATATATTCGCACAAAATTCAAGCAACTATAAATACCTGACGATTTCGCGATTCATCGGCGTCATCATTGCGCGATCAAATTCACATGATATCGGTAGCACGTAACAGGAAAAACTACGCTTCCGGTTGTCAGTTTCATTACCTCCGAATCCTCTTCCACTTGTGTTCAATGGTGGGAAGTGGCCATGCGCGCGATGTTATATTTTTGGGAAAATTCAGAACGGCGAGAGAGAGAAAAAGAGAGAGAAAGAGAGAGAGAGAGAGAGAGAGAGAGAGAGAGAGAGAGAGAGAGAGAGACACTAACAATAAGTTCGGCGTTTCCTAAGAATCCCAAAAGCTTCTCAGCGTTGAGTCAGTACGCGTTCTTTAAAGATTAATTCATCGGCATTTAGTATTGGTCAACTCGCCGCGACAAAATCAAATACCTTTAATCGTAGTAGTAGTAGAACAAATTCAAAGTATAATATTTTATTTGACTTTCTTATTACAAAAGACAAGAGAGAAGGAGAGAATATATTGATAATCTACAGTGTGATTTTTAATGATTGTGTTTGTCGCTAAAATATCTTCTTTCTGTATGTAATAATATACAGAAATTGAACAAAAATATACACATACAAAGGTCGAATCAACGACAAACGTCACTTTCGGACAAAGCGAAGAAGTGTATTTTTTTAAATTTTATCTTTATTATATCAACAGTCACGCGTATTGTTCGCATACCGTGTTACACGTAAAATTCTCACGTACACACATATAAATAAATTATTATCGATTCCTTCTTTCTGCGTTTCAACTATTACTTTGCCGAACTGGGCACCCGCGAAAAGATGGAATGAAGATAGATATTTTCTGTTTTTGACTTCTCGAGTTCCTCTCGGTTCTTTCGCAATCAGAAGACGATGGTCGTTGGCGTCGTTGCGATTGCGGACTCGATTAGCCGCGACAACGATGACGACGGAGGATGATGATGGTACCGATAAAACACCGAACAGAAGAACAGAACGCGTTCGAATCACATAAGACTGACAACGAATCTGACGAATCGAACGGGCATCAGCTCTGGTTTAAAAATCTCTCTCTCTCCCTCTCTTTCTCGCCACATATTAGATTTCCCGTAATTCTTCTCTCGCGGGATCAGCTAAGGTAACATTACGTTATTACGTGCGTCTCTCCCGAAAATACTATCGTTGTCATCGCAGCGTCGCATTATCGTGCGCGTCCGCCAAATCAAATTCGACGATCATCGGACGGACGTTGAGATGAACGTAAGAACTCGATTTTGACGCCTAAAGCAATGCAGGGATTTGCAGGGAATTCGGCATTCTATAAATATCAACCATTGAATGCCATCCAGCGTGGTGTGCGGCTTGATCGTTGCGCGCCAGCTTCCGCGCTATATATCGCTCGACTACTCGAGCTTCTTTACTGTAAATAGATATTTTACTATTTTTCAACGTAGAAAATATAAAATCGGATTGTCTATCAGTGTTAAAGTCTCTTTAATTTGATTATTAAATTGTTTTTTTTTCTATAATAATAAATATATAAATTTATATACAGCATCAAATCAAATATAAATTATATACATCAACAAAATCCACATTGGAGGAGTCGAAAGGAATCTGTACACAATACACGTAAGGGAAAACAACTTTTCGAGCATCCAGGAAGTGATCGTAAGGATTTTATTTACACATAAAGCAATTTTTTATAATCATTTTATAATATTTTATTATTGTATATTAATAATGCCAGTGTATATACGGTTTATATTCCCACACGAATGTCTTTTGAAATATGTCATAGTACACATAACAAGATGCAATTACACGTAAATTTCAAAATTTGTTTTTTTGCCAGCCATATATTTCTCGCATTGTTGATTGTGTACGTAATACGAGTGCCTATTTATTCAAATGTTTAACTTATTATCGACTAATGAATAAATTGTGAGAAAAGAAAGTGCTGACTATAACAATGCACACGTAAATCAATATAACTGTATACATTACTAAAATTCTTGCTAAGTTTATTCAAAAACTTACATTTTACTTTGCAGTTTTTTTTTTTACAAGTATGTAATCGATATTATTCTTAAAAATCTTGACTCTCTTTTTGTACATACACACTTATTTTTATCAAATAAGAAAGTAGTAGTAGAATCCAAGTAAACGAATATCAATTGGGAATGATTACAAAAGCTTTGTATTCGCGAGAAAAGAAAAAATTCCAATACTCATACAAGGAATCACTTTTGTCACAACTTATGTTACGACTCGATTGTCGTTTTCTCTTATCTTTCTTCTTCGTTTCCTTCTATTTTTTCGATAAATACCGGTGTCCTCTTTCGATAAATCCAGTGATAAAAACACTGCCGAAGGCTGCTGCAACTTCTCGAAGGAAGGCACAAATCATAGCCGTACTATTGCGCGCATACTAGATAGAGTTGTATATGTTTAAAGGACTTAAATTCTTCCTCCGTATATCTCAATGACTTCTATGTTGCACAAATTATTAAACTGATGCACTGCAGTTAACATCTCGCGTCAAAGCAGTCGATCGGTTGTCAGTGATCTGTCGCTACTTTTTTAGGATGTCGTTCCTGCGCTCGTTTAAGCCGTTGTAGAAGAAGATTGTGTAGTTGATCAATTTCGTTAAGTGCCGCTTGGACAAGAAAGATTCTTATATCTCCATGAACATCCATCGCAGTTAATCTTAGTGATTTAGGTCCAGCACGCTCCGCTGTCATACCAGGCCATACTTTTGTATTCAAGATCACCCTTTGCGTTCCCGTTGTACGGCCAACCAACCGAGATTCATCATCTCGATCGTTGAGTCTCAAAGTACCTCTCCCTCTTTCCTGCCAACTGCTGCTAACCTATGATAAAACGAGCAATAGTTGGCAAAATCATTATATAAATTTATAGCAAACGTGCGCTAAATGTAGTACAAAATTTCTAGTACACGCACCTTATCGAACGCAAATAGCTTGCAATTGATTTGAAGAACATTCGTTTCTCCTTCTTCACCAGTCAACAATGTCACTTGACTATACTTTCTTTTGTTTGCACGGTTAGCTTCTTCTAACACCTGTGCTGCCTGAGTTAATGTTAATCCTGGCTTTACCGTAGCACGATTACAATTCGCAGCCGCACTCGAGAAAAGAAGTTCGGAAGATCCATTCTCGTTGGTGGTCTCCTCATTCTTTGACTCATCTTTTTCAGATTTATCCAAACTTTCTGCATTATTTGAAACAGCTACACGTTCTTTTAAATTCTGACCAAACACAAAGCCAGGAGCAGAAGTGCTGGATGCAACAGTACTATTTACATTATTTTCATTTTCTTTTGCATTTATACCAAGAGGTAAAAATTTTGGTTTTATATCTTCTGTAGACTTTTCTTCCTTGTTAGAACTTTCGCTTGCTTCATTCTTATTATTCTTTACAGGAGATTTATCTTCCTCTAAAGAATTATCACTTTTTGTAAAAGGATTATGAAATTTTGCAGGTTGTAAAACAGTTTTGTCACTGGAACTTGTAGAATTGTTTGCAACAGCACTTAATTGTGACGGCCTTAATATAGATGACTTTGATTTACCAGGTATATTGGAAAATTCATTGATACCGAATGAATTTCCCAATTTTGAAGCAGCTAACACAGGACCTATAAACAAAACAGAAACATATACAACTCACAATACAAATTTTATTAAATTATAGATACTTACAATGTTTCTTATTAGGAGGTTTGACAGATGATATAGATTCACGATCCTTTAATTCCACTGTATGATTTTCTGGTTTATCTGAAAAATGTTTTACTTAATACACAAATAGTTACCTTATCATATTGTTAGCAGGAGATCTCATATATTCTCATATATCTCGCAATTTTTACACTTACATACACACACACACACACATACGTGTATATATATATATACACACACACACACACATCATACACATATATGTATATTACACACACAGTACCATGCATAAATGTAAAACTGATGAACTATTTAATAGATAGATATTTTAAATTAACCATGTGTATCTGAATCAGATGATCGATGATCTAAAGTACTATTAGTTGGATCTTCGACAATGTTTTCTGGTATCTCCTCAGGTGGATCAACTTTCAGAACAAGTGATGAGCAACTAGTTTCTTCTGAATTCTCTAAAATACAACAGAAATAAATTATTCTATCTTTCTTCCTCTATCTGTCTTACTCGTACACATTATTTAGTTCTATAACACATAGACAAATAAAATATAAAATTTTTGTCAAACAATACACTGCATCGTAAATCCACGTTACACTACGCGACGAACAAAGTACCTCTAGCTTTACTCGATATTATTATTTCGTAAAATTTTTCGCATACATGTCTAATTAAATCTAAAGAAACAAAACGCACCCTTGCAATCCGCCATCTTTTACGTACAAAATGAATGTAGACAATGCACAGACAAGTATGTACGCACTATCACGTCCACAGAATAATATCCATAGATAATGTATGATTTAGACTGTGAAGTGTTGAAACATTAAGCTTGTATCAAATTAGAGAATATATTGGAATTTGTTCAATCAGAGCGGAGTTTACTAAACTTAAATTTAGTATCCTTTATTTCGATTGGTTAAATTCTCAAAAGGTGAATTTGAAAACGTGATACAGGCTTTACAGTGTTTGGCCTAATGTTACTACATTACTTGGCCGCTGATTTCAGCGCTTTATATCCACAAAAATGGATATAGAAGCTACAAAGCGACATCTATTTGTAGACGTAGGTGGCACAAATGCACGGAGTTAAACCAAAAGTGGTAAGTTCTAAAATAGCCGTGATTATTCTCTCTTTTTTCTGATTAACTTTACTAGAGAGAATATGGCTTTGCAATAATTATAAATATGTAGCATTTATTACTCAGCAAATATTAACATGCAAATATTAGCAATTCTTTAAGTATATAATTGTTAATATTTAAATATATAATAGCAATATTTATACTTATTGAATATCAATATTAAATATAAAAAAATATAAATAATTAATTAGAAAGCTAATTATAAATAATCAGATATTATATAAAATCTAGAACAAAATTTATAAAAAAAACAAGCGACATATATTCATTTACAATCAATTATCTGCTCCTCCTTTTCACATTCTGTACTTAAATCTATATCTTCATTATCACATGTGCATTGTTTTTTATGTTTACATTGTAGTCTTAGATGTGTATCAATACCAGTGTCACCTCCAGCAGGATCTAGTATGGAACAATAATTACATTTTTATAAAAACGAATACACTAAATAAATATTTATTTTTGCTATTTGCATTTTTTATATTTGTTTACCTTTATCTTCCAATGTAATTTGTTTCAATTTTTTTGAATTTTTTAACCGTTTTTTAGACGAAGTATTCTATAATAAGAACAAAAAAAGATTTATAAGTACAAATATATAACTGATTTTGATTTGCGCATGAAAACATTTTTTAAAAATACAGACTATTTGAATTATATAACTAAATGAAAAAATTTAATTTTTGTTAAAAAAAAGTATTATTTTTGTAACCAATGCAATTCAGTAAAGAATGTTAATATATTAAAATGATATAAAAAAAGAGAAAAATGCTAATAAACGCTGACATATATAAAAAACTAAACAGTAAGTAAATCAAACAATAATACCTCATAAATTTGTTCAATGCGCTCTTGCTGTTTAGATCTTCCCTTTAACCCAAATTTGAAAAACGGTCCAACACCAAAATTTAAGGAACCACCGAGTAAAAACAATGGCACTAATACTATACATATGCACACACTTAAGAAAAGAAGAATTATGACAGGAAACTTGTAGAAAAAGTTCAGTTCACCTAAATAAAACACAAAATATAGCATGTAATACTTATTGTACATTTTGATGATACATTAAAACAATTTATTTACCTGTGGCATTTTTTATAAATTCAGATATGGCAGTGCCAAAAGATGACAAAGGATGAAAAATAACCGTGCTAAGAAGGTGTGTCAGTACAAGCACAGGCGTTACTTTCAGTTTTGGATTGGTCATCATAGTTTCATAATACCTTTCACAATCGTTAGTAGCTATAGATAAACAATTACTTGCAACTACTTGATAATAAAATATCAATCACATTAATTCAGATACGAACTACTCACAGTAAAGAAAGGAAATCATCTTGTCCCAATGACCCATTTTATGTGGCTGGCAAGTAATCGGCATTTCTGCAAATTGAGCTTGAGCTGCCATCAGCTTAATTTCTGCTTCCTGTAAAATAATGTTTAATATTAAAGATTGTTTTATTCACATGACATAAACTTCATATTTATTTATGTAAATATAACTGCTGATGCTGTCAAATTCTTGATATGATAAAATAATATCAAGTTACCTGTATAAGTTGCCACCAAGTTATAAAAAAACTTATTATAAATATAACATCAAACACTAGAAAAATAATTAAACCTCGAGACCATTTTTGCCTTCTTAGTACCATAAAACTGGCTATAACTACAAAAGAGATTATTGTTATATTCCACTGTAACAAATACAAAAAAGTTACTAAATTTACATTTGTGAGAATCCTAAGATTTTTCACATTAAACTATACTTACATGTTCTTTTACAAATTGCAAATAATACATCAAATTATCCTTCAATAAAGTAAGATAATAAGTTGCTTCAGCCACAAACTGTTCTGCTGAGAAATCAGGTTGTTGTATTATACTGTCCAGTATTCTATCTACTTCTCTTATAGAACCTTGACCTTTTACAAAATTCTGAAGATATTCAAATTGTAAAGAAGATGCTTCTATACTAAGTTTTCCAATCAATCTGTCATTATGTCTCTGCAATTGTCAATTCAAAATTTTTTTTATCGAAAGTGTAATTTTACATATACATATATATATGTATGTATGTATTTGGAAGATCTGACAGCCAATTTTTTCACTTCTAGATAAGTTTTCGATAACTTTATCTAGAAGATATCTCCCAAAATTGGTTCTCTTTATTGGTTCTCAGAGGAATTTATCCAGAGGATAGCTATATATATATATATCGAAAGGTATGAAGAAATCGACTATGAATGTTTTTCACACAACAAAGTATGAAAGTGGATTGTATACATCATTTAGAATAAAAATGTCATGTACAATTATGCAACATTTGCAAGTTATTAAGATGTTCCATTACTATGAGCTAATGAGCGTATGAGAAGCAATAAGATTGACTCTTTAAGTGCATATAAAATCTAATATAACATACCTGTATGAAAAGATTCGATAATAAGATAGAAATTAAACGTTTATAAAATATTGCTTCCTGTGTATTTTTTTCATCCCATTCTTTACAAACAATTGGCTGTATTTCTGTGGATACATCAGATAAAGGAAATTGATAATTTTTTTGTGGTTGCTCTCCTGCACTAAAAAGTAAAAGATCAAAACTCTTTTCAATAAATATAATCTGTTTAAATCACAAGTTACAGATATTTTGATCTGTTTAAATTATAAGTTACAGATATGTATGAGACAACAAATACCCAAAATCTTCATCTTTGGATGTATAGAAGAAAGAATATATATTTTTTAGTTCTTCTGTGAACCTAAAATATAATATATAAACATCTATTTATACATTTTACAAACAAGATTAACCGTCTACGTTTGATAAATCTTTGTTTTAAATAAAACTTAACGTTATGTTATGTCACAAACACAACATATAAATTACTCACGGCACGTCATCTTTGGATACATCCGTTTCGTCGCAATAAACATTCCAGAAAAATGCATACAAGTGCAATATAATATATATCGATGATTTGAAAACGTACATATTGAATTACCTCAGTCAAAATATCAAGAAAACAACAAACAATACCGTACAAGTACAGTCGGCGCCAATGGTCTAGTTTCCACCGAAACTCTCAATACGAGGTTTGTTCGGGTCGCATGCTCCAATGTATACCACAGAGCACTTGGATCACTAATACGATGGCGGTTGAGGCAGATAAGTTCATGTGCGCTAACGTCCAGTGACACGAACGATCTGAGGCACTTCTCCTTCTCTAGCAATATGGGCTGCGTTCCGAT